CAATGGCAAAATTTTAATGCTGTTACTAAAAGGCATTTTACAGTGACAATTATAAGCACGGCTCAGTCAGTGAGTGAGTGAGTAAAGTAAGATTTACAAAAGGAATTTCTTAGGATTCTGTCCAATAACAGAAATTTAAAAAAAAACTGACACAAAGTTTCTAACTCGGTATTCCACTGAAATTCAGTTTAATTTTTAATAGATGAGAAACAGCACAGCAAACGCAAAGTGAACTGTAGGAAAACCACAACACTCAATCATTGCCCTATTCAGACTTTACAACATTAACAGCTGCTGTACAAACAGGTTAAACTCATTTATTATCCACCTGTCAACTGATAGTTCCAAAACCATCTGTCTAACAAGCAATCTCCATCTTGTGGTATTTTTCTTTAACTTCCTTCACGGGCCTAAAAAAAAACAAACACGAAAACCTTCTGCTGTCCAACATGTTGGCCTCATTGCTTCCCTGTGCACAAAATCTGCATTTCCTTCAGTTGGGAAAAACAAGTATTCAAAGCTCCAGCTATCTCCTCACCTGGGTAAAGCTGGTAGGAGCCTGTGTGGTGCCAGCGGGGCAAGTAGCGAATCCTAAGGGGTAACCAAGTCCCTCCATCCATAATCCCCCTATCGGGGCCCCTCATGAACTCCAACACAAGAGGGCTGAACACATAGTCCAAGAAAGGGCCCACATACACACACTCACACACACTTTTACACCAAAAGAGAAACAGAGAGAAGGTGGGAAATGGAAAAAGAAGGAGGATATAATGAGAAAGAAAGAGAGGGAGGTTGCTGCTGGTGAGCAACCTGGATGACAACCTGAGAAAGCACAGAGAGAGTCAGGTCACAACATGCACACGCACCTGCATGTGCATTCACACAGCTCTGTGAGCTTCCAGCTAGGGTAACCGATACAAGCACACACAGGCCTCAGAAAGATGAATAATTCAAAGCCGAGAGAGAAGGGAGATAAAAACGCACACGCACGCGTATACATAGTGACACGGACACACGCACACGCTGCAGTATTGATGAGGAGCTTGTTAAAGGAAGGCCACTACTGAGGCTAATGAGGCCTGCAATACAGATGTTGTGGCGCATCTGGTGGAATCCAGTGGCTACATCAGGGCTGATATATAAGGAGATGATTTAAAGCTACATTTTACACATTCTTTTAATTTTTCAATAAATCAGTCTAAGCATTGACATGAGGCAATTTTAGACTGGAGCAAAGAAAATGGGCTCCTACATTATGCAGGAGGTAAGCTGGCTAAAATCTACTCGATATACATAATTTATGTATCATAACGTATAGTGATTTTACCCCAAATACAAATAGTTCACAGATGCTCAGTGAAAACATTCTAATGAGCGGCGCGTGTGTGCAGAGTTACATTTCTCTCACTTGATCCTGGTGACAGTGATCTAACACAAGACAAAACGAGAACATCGTTGCAAAATGAGGAACCTCATTAGTCCCTTAGTTGTCATGTTCCCTATCTCATGCAAGAAAAAATATTAAAGGAGAGAAGTCTCACAAACAACACATTCTATCTTCCAGAGACATGCATTGTGGAAAAAGTGACAACAAACACTTCTACATTCGAGCTCACAGTAAACACGTCCACCATAAAATTCAGAGCTTCCCACCCCCCGTCTTGTTTCTCACCTCCTCTGCATTCTTTTATCTCCCATCTGCCATAAAATTTATCTTTCATATACATTTATGGGGTGTTAAAGCACAGTTTATCACAAATTAGATCCAGTCTAACAAATCATGAAAATACACTGTGTGAATGGTCTGTCATCCTGATTAAAACAACAGCACCAAGACAACTGAAAAACAACAACGACAAAAAACTAGAAAAGCACATCCCATGCAGCTTTCCAACAAGTCTCATGGAACTGGAACTGTTAGTTTTTGCATCTTGCTGGCACAGACGTTAAAAAAATGCCTATTATATAGCCCCGCCATGGGGAGATATGTAAAGTGAGTTATACAACCACTGACGAATGATCAAACAGCGTCTGTAACGCCTTCCCTTTGCAACACCTTCCCAGCCTGGAAACTGGCAGCCTGAATCTGATCAAGGCTTCTTCACAGATATTTGCAAGCCGTGATGACAAAAGGTGAAGTTCTATCTCGTCACCTGGGAGGAGACTTTGTCTGAAAGTTTGTATTAGTACAACTGTTGCAGTGTTATTACATATATATTACACTGTGGTAATATGTGAACCATTATATCTAATCTACATCTACTGTATGTAACTGTAACTGTATCATAAATACGCTTATAAGGATTACAGAAGCAGAAAAAAAAACCTACCAGTTGCTTCGTTATTATATTTACAAATTTGGCTTTATATTTAGCTTGCAGCCAGCCACCAGCAGCAGAATAAGCACAGGTGTGGCAGAAAAGCAGGCCAAACTAGCTCGCCTGTTGCTAGAGAAGTTACTGAAAGCAGACCAATGTTAGCTCGGGGCTACTGTGAGCACGGCCACGATGAAACGCAAGACCTAAACTGATAAAATACTCGATACACGTTAAATGACCCGCATCCTAACAACTCAAGAATGCAAGGTTTTGTGCAATTATGGTAAAACTCACAATCGAGTTTTCTTTTCCATTATCGTGCACTTGAAAAATGTCTACTTTAATTTTACTGAACTTGCAACGTAGAAAAAAAACAGCAAAACTAAACATGTCCCAGCTTGATGAGGACAGAGTCGGAGCACTGAAGGTGGTGTAAAAGTCACCTCTGCAGAGAAAGGGATGCATCAAAGTTATGATCCAAGACAAAACAAGATCACCATTTCTAAAATGATTTCAGAACCTTTATTTTAATGCTGTTGTTTTTCCCCCTTGTAATTACTACACAAAACTTTGAATTTTCAATAAAATTCCCCAGCTCAAGTAAGAAGAAGACCTGAAAATGATACTGAAATAATACAAAAATTGAAGGCATATTTACTCACCTCCATCAGAGACTGCAGCAGACTGTAAAAAGCAGAAAGACATGAGTTAGGATCTTTCTTCATCACACAGATGACACACACTAAAATCAGCTCACACAGGGTATGAGGCCCAAGAGGCCAGAGCATGCACTTTTGGCCACATGGAGACACAGACAGACTGACTGAGTTACTAGGAATGATTCCATTATCAGCACAGTTTCACATCATGACACAGCCAGATTAGCACCCACATTCATTGTCTTCTGCGTGGGTGGAATCGTCTGTTAACTGGCTGCGCTTGCTCTACAAGAAAACTCAAAAGGGTGGGGCCTACTGTCTGGGTGTATGTGTGAAAAGGTTAAGGATGGGTCCCGTCTCCTTTCAATAGGCATGTGTGAAGTTTGCCTGCTTATCTCACAATCACAAACATAGATATGAAGAAACTCATTCAATCTCCATTTTAACGGTTTTCAACAACACAAACACGCAGATGTTAATACAGACACACAAGCCAAACTTACTTCAGCCTAATATCACATTTCCCTGACACAGACCCAAAACAACACTCAGAAATACACACATATGGCGTACAGCGGGTTTTTCTCTCAGACATGCTGAGCTAGGATGAGATCACTCAACGCAGACATCAGTAATGTAGATTACTGTGGAACAATGCATCACAGTGTGACTCAGGCCAAAGCCGAGCAGGAGACAAAAGAGGGAAAGGAAGGAAGGAAGAAAGAGAAAAATGGTTTGAGAAAGTTAAAAACTCAAAAAAAAAAAAAACGGAGCCTAATTTGCAACATGTGTCTTTTTATGCTCTTAATCGAACGGCTAACCTTGCTAATGGCGAACTTTCTGTTTATTCATGTTAAGAGAGCTGCCTGGTACCGAAGTGATCTGTAGGAATTTCCTACAGCGCATCTACCTTTGGGAAATTAACTTTTATTGAGCTCGTCATTACTCAGCACAGACATCAGAGTGTTCTCCAGATGAGCAGAGGTTTCTATAGGTCACACAGTCCATTCTTTAGAAACGCAACAACTTAAGTTGTGTGAAATAACATTGTTTCTTTCCCTGCTACGGTTTACTGAATAATAAAATCATTCATTAGAAAGCAAATAAATATGTGTTATAAGATCATTTTTATATTATACAATAAAGCTTTGAGCTGCAGCCTCATGTGCCTACTGTCAACCTGAAAGCTTTACTAGAGAGAAAAGTGATACTATCTAAAAAAAAAAATCCCTTTTAGTGTCAGGGGTTGCTGAGTGGATGAGAGAAGGAGGACCCAAACGCTGGACTCACAGGTAGGTAGGTGAAGGTGGGTGTTTATTGTCGATTCAGTGATCAAACAGAACAGAGGAAGGAAATGGCTGGCTGGCTGGACGAATGACTGACTGGCTGGCTGACTGAACGAAGGCGGAGACGACAACATAACATCAATGACACGACAAAGAACTGGTGAAACCGAGGAACTTAAATACACAGGTTGAATGATGACAATGATTGGAAACAGGTGAGTACAGGGCTGAACATAATCTGACTAATGACACGGGGAACAAACAGGAAGTGGCAAAATAAACTGAACATGAACAAAACTGAAAGCACTGGGTCGATGACCCAGGAACCCTGACATTTAGTTGTAGTTATTTCGTATTCACTCTAATTACCCAGATTTCTACCAGCAGCCTAGATTTAGTTTTAGACACATGTGTGTCTGAGGAGTTAAGATAGGGAACAGCATAAGACAAAAGGTCAACAGTAGGAGTACACCTTTGTGTTCAAAAGAGTTACTAAAACTGAAACTGGTATTAAAATAAAAACAGAAGCACCACAAAGTCTAAGAAAAGGCAGTGTCTGCAACTGAGCATTACATTAGGCTCCAAACGATGCAAATTTTACAGTAACTACAATACTGAAGTGGAAGTTCTGCTATTCTAATAGATTTGTTCACCTAAACACTCGTTAACCAATTTACAAAAACAATAACATTCTCTATTTGTACTAAGCCTACAGCATTAAAATTCTAAAACATCCAGACTCATATTCAATATGCAAACTGGGTACATCTAGTTCATTTGAAACCTTGGTGTTGTCTGTGTATGTGCTACCTGTTGAATTTTGGCCATTTCCTCTCTTAAATCAGATCTAGTCCTGCCCAGATGGTTCTGTCAGTGTAAAGATGTTTTCATACATAAACATCAAACAATTTCAGGAGACCTTGAATTCTCCCTAAGTTACGTAGGTCTGGGGGTTTCCCATGATGCACCGAGTGCTTCCTTATCAATCACTATGTGTTTATATAGCTCTCTGCATTTAATCATTAGTTATTACTAATCTCTGGCTCTTTTCCACAGTCTTTTGTCTTGTCTTCCTCCCATCACCCCGAACCAGTTGAGGCAGATGGCTGCCCCTCCCTGAGCCTGAGGTGTCTTCCTATTAAAAGGGATTTTTTTCCTACCCGCTGTCCCCAGGTACTTGCTCAAAGGGAGTCATTTGATTGTTGAGGTTTTCTTGGTATTACTGTAGAGCTGTTACCTTACAATATAAAGTGCAACGGTATATGTGATTTGGCACTATATAAATAAAACTGCATTGAGTTACAATTTTAGAAGAATCAGGATGGAACATTTTTATAGTTGTCCTTTGTCACATGCAGCAGGAAATTGTCCTCTTAAGATATACTACTGGAAAAACCATGTGTGGGTTAGGTAAGGGAGTTGCCTGGATAGAGAGTGCAAGAGGAAGGACACGGGATGCTCATTCGCTAGTGCGTTACCAGGGAGCTGCTAGGATAAAAACGGGCTAGTGTCCAATCGAACATCCCCGCATGCTGCTCAGTTGAGTGATGTCGAGAAAAGGTCAGGGCTGCAGTACATGTGTGAAAACGGCTAAAGTTTCTCAGGGATTAACAATTCCACACTGTCCCTTGAAGTACAGAGGTTGGCTCCAGCGGATGGAAAGAGATGATTCTGAAGCAGCTGTTTGTGGTACAACCACGAGAGAGGATAACCAAAAATGACCAGAGACACAAAGTGATTACACTTATTAGAGCAAAAATCAGATTCACAACTCACACATTCCCAACAGCATTGACTGTGTCTATGTGTGTTTCTGTGGGTCAAGACATCCTGGCCTTGTTGTAGTTGTGAAGCCTACAGTATGTAAGCATATGGCCAACATCTGTCAAAGATGTGTCTTTTGTGTGTAGCATGCATTTTTTTGCATTTATGAATGTGTGTGTGTGTGTGTGTGTGTTCACCCCTATCCCCAATTCAGCGCTAGCATGATCACTTCCAGACACATGCTGTGGTGGAGAGGTTTTGGCCCCTGATCGAGGCCCCTCTCCCCCGTTTTCACTTGATTCCCCCTCTAGCCTATTTTCCCTCTCTCCTTCCTTTTGTTTATTCTTTTCCCAGAATGCTGTAGCCCCAGTCTTTCTTCCTTTCTCTCACTTATTCCCTTCTTCTCCTTAAATCATTCTCATATTCTTGCCCTCCGTCTCGTTTCCTCAATCATTCCAGTGGTGTTTCCCTTCCTCTTTTGGCAAGTCCTGGTCATTCCTGACAGCCCACAGAGAACGATTGGGGCTTTTCAGACATTCCCTCTTCGAGTTCCTTTCTCAAGCTTCTATCTGTAGAGATGATATGTAGATGGAAAATACTTCAATTTAAGTAGGATACTCTCAAATGTATATCCCACTGTAAGGAACAAATGTGCTGCCAGTTCATAGGTGCCACGTGTGCTACTTTTAGCCTCCACTGGTTTCAGTTATTATCACATGTCCTATAATGTAGGCTGAGGATCGGTTTCTTACAGATATTAGTGGGCCTTTCATGTGTATTGTGGTGAACGCACTGATAAGATCAGCAGAAAATGACACAACTTCAGAGACTGGTGATCATGATTACAGTTGTGGAGAGCTTGTTTGTTGTTGTTGTTGTTGTAGGAAAAAATCAGAAACTCTGTATGTGTAGGATGTCAATTCTGGTTAAGCAAGACAGAGCTGCAGATAATGGTTCTTTCTTATTAATAAATAACACATTACATCTCAGATTAGAATTCCTTATGATATTATATTGCATAAAAGCCCATTTCTG